GAACTGCTTAGAAAGTTACCAACCGGTTCTCCTGAATAGGTGCGAACTGGCTGAATCCCACCACTGACTGGTGACAGAAGGGCAAAAAGATAACATACTCATACATACTGTATTTTCCCAGTTAAATATTAAATCATTTCCCAAAAGGAGGGCCATTGTAGAAGACAAAGAGGGGGGGAATTCAATATCCACTGTCATCTCAGAGAAGCAAAATAGGTATCTACAATAATCCAGTTCCATTTTATAGCTGGGTTTTAAAAGTTACACAAGGATGAAGAGGCTTGCCCAATACCAGAAGGAAATCAATGGCATAGGCTGGAGCCACGCCAAGCCAGTTTATCTCTCCACCATATTATGCCAAAGTCCCCTTGGCATATCTGAGATAGCTTAAATTATCTTGTGAGCTACAAATGCGTACTTCACGACAAAAGGGCAGAGGGAGAGAATAATGCAGGGACTATTTTCTGCCAGGCATTGAAAAATCAGAAAGTCTAACCCAAAAAAAGACATTGTGTCAATGCCAAGTCGGAACATTTCTCAAGACCTGAAAGGTTAATAAATTAGCTCAGAGTCACGCTACAAAAGAATCAAGACTATGGGCCTTTTCAGATGCTGGAGCAGGAACCTCAAGTTTCTGTTTCTTGCAAGAAGTTTTATAGGCAGTACGCTGTTGTTCTGAGATCGGTGCTCGGAAACTTGGGCTGGTTAAAAAGTCTTCTCAGAAATGAAACACAACTGAATTATTTCTCCCTCAATCATACTAAATCCATAGGGTTATAGATGAAAATTGAACATGCACAAGTCTTTTCCCTTGATTTTCCTAAAGAAAGACAGTGGCTTACTCTGGGATGAACTTTTGAAAATAACCATCTGTTTTATCAGATGGATGAATGTGGGCTGGAGTGCTAGGAGATATACCATATGTGCCACTTATGTTACACTATTAACTTGTGAAGTGAACAAAATTGACTGAAGCATAATATGAGGGACAAGGAGCATTATAGACACTGAGTGAGGTTAGAAATTACAGTATTGCAGAGAAAGCAGAACATCAAGGCAACTTATATTTCGTGTATCTTCAGACCATCATTAGCATGTCACATCGTTCCTTTTTTTACAGATTGTTCCTTTTTTNATATGAATTATGCTTGATGACTGTGGAAGAGATGCACAAAAGTCTTTTGAAACCAACTGATACACTTTCTACAGTGTGTAAAAAAGGAAGATTTTATGTGTTGTGTTTGTTTTGAAAAAATAAAATAAAAATAATAATAATAAAAACAATAAATATTCTGCAAGGAGCGAGCCCAAAATGTGGCCTCAAGCCAAAAAAAGAATTGAAAACACACTTAAGACTCTTGAGATGAAAGGATGCATGTTATAATAGGTCTCTATAATTTCATGATATTGGCATTTATGTACTAAGCCACTATGATCTCACTCCTCTCCTTTCCCATTGTGCAAGTAATTTGGCTTGTTTTGGAACCTTCCCCAATTTCCCAGTTCTCTTAACTGTCACTATTTGGCCTTTTTTTCTCCTTAGGTCATCCGCAGTGGTTTCTTTTTGTTATTTTACCCTTTCCTACAATGAACGTTGATTGTACTCAACACAAACACAACTTAAAACAGCTCTCGCCGTGGATTTCCCAGGCGCCCCCAAGAAGCCTTTCACATTCATTCAGGGCTTGCTTTAACTCCCTCCATTCTTTTGATGCAATTATTTATAGAACAGTGAAAGAAAACACCTTGCTTTACTGGAGGAATAATTAACAAAAGACAAAGGCAACAAAATCCTGGCCACCAAGAAGTACTAACTGGAAAGTGAATCATTAAAAGCAAAACCAAAAGCTATGATACTTCAAAAAAAAAACCCAGAATGATTCTGCAATTTTACTATCAAAGATTCTAGTATTTGATAAACTAAATACTTCATCTAAAAGCCAATTTCCTAGGTCTCTCTTTTTTAAAAATTACCTATTTATACTATCATTTGCCTACTTAATTCTGGGTCTTTTTTTTTAAAAAAAAAGTTATTTATGTTGATGTTTGTATACCATAACTCAGTGTTTCCCAACCTTGGCAAGTTGAAGATGTCCGGACTTCAACTCCCAGAATTCCCCAGCCAGCGAATGCTGGCTGGGGAATTCTGGGGGTTGNGCCACTCCCACCAGGTCACATGGCCAGCAAGCCACTCCCACAAAGGAGGCCACACCCACAGAGTAGGTTCCAAAAAAATTTGAAACCCACCACTGACTTAAAGGCAGAAAAGCCTTTAAAATGGGCAACTGGAGTTTAGATGTTATCTATCAACAGTTAACAAAGAAAAAAGCTCGGCATTTACAATGATCCCCTAGTCATTTTTCCCATGATACACTGAGTCTATACAGGTAAACTTTCCATGTATAAATTTGCAAACAATTATTTGCACATAAGTAATCATAGAAATCACTGCAACAAAAATGCATGTGAACGAAATTCCCCCCCAGAAATGTGTAAGTGGCCACACTACTCAGAAAGTGTTAAGTCTTTCTCCAGGAGATAAGATGGCAGCTAACTCAGTGGAGTAGGCATGTTATCAGTTCCACGGACAGCACAAGCAGGTCAGCCTGGAGCAAACAATATACTTTATTGTTCGGAAAGTGTGAAGTTTCTTCTTTTGTATTC